AGTGGCCTGAGGGCTTTTCCGGTTTCACCAGGATGAAGTGAAAGGCTCAGTCTGCATTGGAAGGTCGGTTAACAATTTCCGACACCCGATCACAATCGCGACCAACTCCAAGATTTGGCGAGAAGCTCAGCGGGCTGCATCTATGGATTAAGTTTCATATAAAACTTTTCGGCGATGAGAACCGTGACCTTTGCTTTCTTTATTTTTGTTACCAATACCGTCCAACAATATTGAAAGTAGATTAGCTAGACGTATATCTACATTACACTTGGGTTGCTATTAGTATGGAAAATCTCTCGAGACATTGCTTGCTTGAAGTCGTCGTGGCCCAAAGGATAAGACGTCCGGTGCATTCGTATGTAGCGATGCACCGGTGTTCGAATCCCGCAGGCGGGTACCAATTTTTCTAATGAAATACGTACTTAACAAATGTTCACGATTGACTTCCACGGTGAAGGAATAACATCGTGTAATAAAAATGAAACCCGCAAAATTATAATTTGCGTTTTTGAATGAATATTATGTTTCCGTTAGGGTAGTATTTATGTCAGTTTTTGCTGATGTAAATTTAAAAAATGTATTATTAGTTAATATTCATTACATTTATATGTAATAACGAAACAGTAAATTAGTACTTTTAACTTATTCTATATAGATTGGAAGTTTCTTGGATAGATGACAGGAATATGGAATGGAATGAGATATTTTTTCCATATTCATTTATTCTAGACTTTTGTGTTCTGAAAAAAGATGGCAAATTTTGATGAGCTTATATAAACTTGTTTCTCGCCCTTTGCCGTGCGTAATTACCCAAACAGGCTAAAGTTCCTACAACGGCTATACCGATACCTAAAACATTATTTCGAGCAGCTTCTGAAATTCTGTGTAACATTTTATAAAATGTCTTCTTGTCAGCCCATGGACGTCCACTGCTGGACATAGGTCTCCCCCAAGCCTCGCCACAAAGACCGGTCCTGCGCTGCCTGCATCCAGCGGATCCCCGCGAACCTCAATAGATCGTCGGCCCATCTTGTGGGAGGCCTACCCACGCTACGTCTTCCAGTACGCGGTCGCCACTCAATAACTTTCTGGCCCCAACGGCCATCCGTTCTGCGAGCAATGTGTCCTGCCCACTACCACTTCATTGTCGCAATCCTTTGGGCTATGTCGGTTACCATGGTCTTCCTCATTTCTGATTTGATCTAATTTTTGATTTGAAAATGTGCACACGATACCTTAATTTATTTATTTATTTATGTATATACACACAAAAAAGAACATATAATACAGAGTAATAGGAAAATTATGTACAAAGGCACTGCTTATTTCTTTAAGAAATCTCTTCCAGCAGACCCGCGAGTTTGTTAAGTTTGTCCTCGATACACACGGCCCTAGCAACAGTCGAGCTAATGTTACGCAATCGTTCCGAGCGTTTCATTTCACACAACGACAGTCAATTAAGATTATTAAAAAGGAAAATCGCTTTATCAAGCCACTACGTAACGTGCACTTAAAATTTGTATGATATTAATTAATATTAAGATAGTGTGATTTTGTTGTTTTCTTCGTTTTTTTTGCATAACTCGTATCGCAAACGTAATTATAAATAACTAGCCGTACTCGCCCGCTTCACTGGGCATTTAAAATTAACATTATTATTTATTGTCATTATTATTAGGGAGTCCAACACTCATATAAATATTAGCCTATCCATTGAGTACATGTATTTTCTACATGGATACCAAGTTTCAAGTCAATCGGATGCATGGTTCAGTAATTATAACGGAACATCCATAAAAACCACTGTAAATTTATATATTAGTATAGATTTAACGGTTTGATCTAGCGCATCAGTCGGTTACGAGATCACCGGGTGTCATTCTTTACTTCTTTGTATAGACAGGCAGACATACTCAGTTTAGTGGCAGAATTTGTTTTTGCTATTGCGGACACTTTAATTTTGTAGATTTTTTTTTACTCAGATAAATATCTAAACAAACTCACGGCCCTTGGTTTTAAGTTGTCGATATCACAACGTGGATGCTTTCACCCACCTTGAGACATAAGGTCGAAATTCCAATATTTTGGTCTTAATGAAATACGGAAAACATGTATCCGATTTGAAAAATTTTTCAAGTTTCATTATAAATTACAACACGTTTTTAAGATAGGATATCGGGCTCAATAAATTACTTCCAATCATGAGATGTGACGATTTATGGAAATACTCTTCTACGTCAGAGTCCGCCCGAGGGTTTGTCTTATTAAAATGCCATAAAATTATGACAAACAGTTTCTTACGTCCAATAATAATATGATGATGGAAACACACAGGTATGAGAAAATAGTAATGTAAATTCAGAACTTTTTTTATATATTCACTATATATATATTTTTTTCAATATTTTGATTTACTTTTCGGTTGATAAGATTTATTTGTCGACAGTAAGATACAGCTTCCAAAAATGGCGTTTTTATGTCTCTTAAGGATTTTTCCCCCTATAATGATCAATCTTTTAATACATTAAAATGATTAAGAATCTGAATCATTCATTTTTAAAATTTGTATATATACCACTTTTTACCTTGGTTACATTTATGGTTACTTTTTATGAATGATACAAAGAGTTAGATTTAATTTTCCCTTTTGTTTCCACATTTACAGACTAAAAACAAAAAACTCTTTCCAAAATGTTTTTATTGATAACACTAAACCTTGTTAATAGCTACTAGCTAGATAAAATAAAACAGAAAATCTGTTGGCCAACAGAAAAGAAAATGATACTCAATAGGGCATAACGAAAATTAAATTATTTTAAATTGATTTGAATTAACACGAATTACGATAGCAGAAATCGGATGGTTGTCATTTTTCTGGTCGGCGAAGTCGGGTTGAGAGATAAAGGTTTCCCCAAAAAGGACCGTGAGTTAGATTCCCAATCTATGCTCACTAAATAAATAAAAAAAGACAAGTTGTTAGCATAACCTTGAATGTAGTCAGCCGGAAATGTCTCATGACCAAACAGTGCAGAATTGGCTGTTTTTGTTTTTCTAATTACACACACACACATAACCTTATCATTCGATGTCCGTTGACGATTGCTTTACTTTTGTACGTTTGTGCGCCTTAACACGTAAAATGATCTGAATAACACATATCAGATAAGACTACGATAATATGAACTCATTATAAAGTTAGTTATGTAATCTGTGTAATGTTATTTTTTCGTCAATAAATAACCGAAGTATGTACTGTTTAAAGCTTTTATTTAATCTGCTTGTTTGTGATTTTCATCAGCAGTGTGTCACGTATAAATTTTAAGTAAGCTTCATAAATTACGCAGCTCATTTTGTTAAAATCAACACTGTTGTAACTCTTCATTATGCTTTCGGCCTCGGGAAAAAATTGCCGAAAGCACTTCGTGCGACAATAAATGTGATTTTAATCTACAAAAATCGAGTCGATTACTCATTAATAATCCAGTTTTCACGGCAACAGTTTCATGGCCGAAAAACTTCGCGTGTGAAGATCGTGTATAAATTTCCAACCTACATATCTGAAAAACTTTATAGTGACAAATGATCCTTAGCGAGCTCTGTGCCTATTGCTTAAATCGCAATGACCGAAGTCACTAGAAACAAAAGTATGTAAGACCTGCTCAAACGACATACGTAATTGCTATACTGTACAAATGGCCGAGGAAGTAGTAAATACCATATCTCAAGCCGGATAGTAATATGCCGATATACAGCTACTGGGACTATGAGCATAGAAATAATGATACCAGATCTCTTGTTATTTAATTAATAAACATAAAACTTGTATGATTTTGAATGATTTATTTTAAGTCCACGTTTCACACATGAAAACAATTAAAAACAACGAGTGAACGTTAATGGAGTGCCCTGATCAATCCAAGCTAATTGAATAATTATTAAAATGAAAGTAAACTTTTACTCAAACGAAATTTAACACGATATTTATCGCGTGTTAATCAAATATTAACAACAGTATCTACTTAGTCTGGTAGAAGTAAAACTAATTAAATCATGCCTGAGTCACTCGAGAAATGGGAAATTTTAATCGAATCTTTACGATAATAGTCAATGTTTCAGAGTTGTATCCATATCCAATGTGTAAAATAAATTTAAAAGCGTTGTTAATTTCACTTTAACCAGAAATAATACACTCGGCTTGCTATTATAATTTAATCCGGTATCTCTGCAATTTTTAATTACGTAATGCCTTATGTGATAATTAAACTGAAATACTATAATGTTTCTGTGGTCATACGACTAAAAAGTAACTAACTGTAAAATATTCGTATCGTCAGAATTAGTAATATAAAAATAATAAATGCGAAATTAAATTTTAAAATTATATAGTTTTAATAATGTCCACACTCACGAAAGTAATCACAAGTGGAGAAGACCAGGTCGCTATGTATATGCTTGGCGACACACCGTGGAGATAGAGATGAGGACTGCCGGCATGACCTGGAGTGATGTAAAGAAGCAAGCGCAAGACAGGGTCAAGTAGAGACAACTTGTGAGGGCACTATGTACCAGCGGAGGACTACAACAACAAAAACAATAACAAGTGGGCTGTGAGCACTTTCATCTAATATATCAGGGAATATTGTTATTATATACCTCATAAAAAAGCCATGTATATTATTATACTAGTGTTAAGTATTTTTGTACGTGTTTGTATTTTAAGAGGCTTGAATAAATATTATTATTATTATTATTGGTGAGGTCGTAAGGTTCAGTTTGGCTTGTGCCGGCGGATCAGTTAGAGAAACACGTCTTTCCTTCGTAAATGTATATTGACAACTACCGCTTAATCGTAAAGTTAATTGAGACTACGTTTTTAAGTTCAAAATCGCAAAACAGAATCACCATAAGCCGCCCACCAAAGGACTACTGAAGTCCTTTAAATTAAGTAAAATCAACAAAATTTATAGGTAATCACATGTTTTGGTTNCTTGTGCCGGCGGATCAGTTAGAGAAACACGTCTTTCCTTCGTAAATGTATATTGACAACTACCGCTTAATCGTAAAGTTAATTGAGACTACGTTTTTAAGTTCAAAATCGCAAAACAGAATCACCATAAGCCGCCCACCAAAGGACTACTGAAGTCCTTTAAATTAAGTAAAATCAACAAAATTTATAGGTAATCACATGTTTTGGTTTGCTTCTACAACAATCATTAAGGTATCGGTATATGGTGCGGTCAGAAAGAATTTATACAAAGAACAATAGTAAAATAACAAATATTAACAACTATATAGCACTAATCTATTTCGATGGGCAACGCACATAGTTTTGTTACGCATCGCTTTGTTATATGATCACCACTCTTTACACTATAGACTCTGGTAAGACCGTCAGGGCCAGGATGCTTGTCGGTTATTCGTCCCATAAGCCATTTTCCTGGTGGCAAATTGTCCTGTTTTATGAGAACAATGTCCCCTATCTTGAATTCGTCTTCGCGTTTTAACCATTTCGGTCGTTGTTGCAGCCGCGTCAAGTATTCTTTTTGCCATCTTGACCAGAAGTCGTTCAGCAGTTTCTGTGTGTATTGCCAACGTGTCAGGTTGCTTATTTTAGCGTCTTGCAGGTTCACATCAGGCACAGTTACAGGGGGTTCAGTTATCAAAAAATGACCCGGAGTTAATGGTTCCGACATGCTGTCTTCCTGCGGGCACAGCGGTCTCGAGTTCAAGCACGCTTCAATTCCACAGAGAACCGTCGTAAGCTCTTCATAGGTAAGGTTAGTGTTAAGGATTCTTCGTAGATGGTGCTTAATAGACTTCACACCTGTCTCCCATAAATTTCCAAAATTTGGGGAGTAGGCCGGGATGAAGTGCCATTGTGTTCCATCGTTAGCAAGTAATTCACTAATTTCTCCATCAAATTGTAGGCGAGCTTCCTTCCAGGCTTCAACCAGATCTTTGTTAGCACCAACAAAGTTTCTTCCCTGATCACTCCACATGTTTGTACATCTGCCTCTTCGTGCGCAAAATCGTTTAAAGGCACCAATGAATGCAGCTGAAGTCAGATCACCAACCAACTCCAAGTGGATCGCCTTCGTGGACATACACACAAAAATGGCTATGTACGCCTTGCCAGTTTGGGCTCCTCTGCCCTTTTTTATTAGAATTTGAATTGGTCCCGCAAAGTCGACACCGGAGTTAAGGAATGGCCGAGCTGGTTTGACCCGAAAACTTGGTAAGTCTCCCATCAATTGTGTTTTTACCCTAGCCCCATGTCTAGCACACATCAAGCATCGATGGATACACTGCTTTACTAGGGACTTCGCGCGGAGTATCCAGTATCTCGATCGCAGGTAAGTGAGCATCAATTGCACTCCTCCATGCAGTGTCTTCGAATGTGCTTCTGCGACCACTAAATAGGCAAGTCTACTTGCATGACCCAAAATGATTGGGTGCTTCACTTCATTAGACAGTTCGGAGTTCCTGAGCCGACCGCCCACTTTCAGGATTCCATCTTCGTCAAGGTAAGGATCTAGTGCTTTTAGTTTGCTTGTTCCTTTAACTCTCTTTTTTGTTCTTAACGATTCTATATCTTCTGTAAATTCCTCTTCTTGTGCTCTTTTTATACAAGTTTGCATCGATACATGTAGTTCTTCAGTTGTGATTTTGCTATCTATTCTGTCCCTTAATGTTTTTTGTTTCAGGAATCTTCGGCAGTATGTGATTGTTCTAAGTAGCTCCAATAGTGTATCAAATTCTTCAAATTGTGTAAATAGTCTCTTCTCTAGTTCATTTTTGTTGTAAGTTATTTTTAAATTTTGTATTCTATTATTTTTCCTCTCAATCTCTGTTTGCATAATGTTTGGTTTAGTGAACTGTATCTTCGATTGTTGTAACCAGTCTGGCCCATGCCACCATAATTCACACTTTTTCAGATTTTCTACTAACATCCCCCTGGAACCAACATCAGCTGGATTATCTTGAGTTTGCACGTGATGCCACTGAGTGCAGGATACATTGGTTGTAATCTCAACAACTCTGTTTGCCACAAACACCTTCCAGTTGTTTGGATCTCCAAATAACCACGACAGGACAATGGACGAATCTGTCCAAGCATAAATTTGAGTTGCAGGTATTCTCATTGCTTGACCAACTTGCTTAAGCAATCTTGAGAGTATCAGCGCACCGCAGAGCTCCAATCGAGGTAAGGATATTGTTTTCAACGGGGCCACTCTTGTTCTTGCTGCGATAAGCGTCGTTTTGTTCGTACCGTCTGGGTGAGTCACTCTACAATATACTACAGCGCTATATGCTTGGATGGATGCATCGCTGAATCCATGGAGTTCTATGGACTCTCTTTTGGCGCACGTCGTACCTACCCATCTTTCTATGTAGATTTCATTCACATGTTCAAGGTCAGATCGCAATGTGATCCACTTGCTGGCTATTTTAGAATTCAATGCCTCGTCCCAGGTTATCTTTTCAAGCCATAGTTCTTGCATTAATATCTTTGTCAGAACGATGCTGGGCGCAATCCAGCCGAGTGGGTCAAACAACTTTTGGATGTCAGACAGAATGCTTCGCTTTGTGATCACTTCATCGATTGGAGGTAAGTTTAAATTGTACTCGAATCTGTCTTTTCCGAAATTCCATTGTACGCCAAGTGCCTTTATTGTTCCATCAATCTTCAATTCCAGATTAGCATTTGACGATCTATCGCAAGGATCAACTGTTGCCAAGAATTCTCGGCTGTTGGATGACCATTTCTTTAGTTCGAATCCACCCAAATGAAGAAGTGCTCTAAGATCTTGACTATTTTTTATTGCTTGTTGCAGACTGGCACTTCCAGACATTGCGTCATCAACGTAAAAATCCTCACGCAATATCTTAGCAGCCTCTGGATACCGGGCGCCTTCATCTTCTGCCAATTTCATAAGGGTTCTTACAGCGAGATAGGGAGCAGAAGCTGTTCCAAATGTAACAGTTAACAACCTGTAGTCCTTGACTTCTTCAGTTTGGTCGTTTCTCCACAAAATTCTTTGATAATCTGTGTCTTCTCGGTCAACCCATATCATACGGTACATTTTCTGGATATCAGCAACAAAGCAAACGGCGTGAGTTCTCCACCTCATTATCAGGTTTCTCAGATCGTCTTGCAGTACAGGACCCGTCAACAGTTCGTCATTGAGAGAAACACCGTTGGAGCCCTTGCACGAGGCGTCAAATACGACACGAGTCTTCGTGGTTTCTTTATCATTACGGATCACGGCGTGGTGAGGTAAGTAGACTGATTTATTATTTATTTCTTGTGTAGGTATTTCTTCGATATGTTTTAGATCTATGTAGTCTTCAATTACCTTCTTGTATTCTTGCTTTAATTCTTTATTTTTGAACCTTCTTTCTAATTGCATTAGTCTCTTCATTGCTATTTCTCTCGTATTTCCTTCTGTTGATTTAGGTTCTTCTGTGTTGAATGGTAATTTGACAACATATCTTCCACATTCATCTCGCTTCTGTGTCTTAGTGTATATATCTTCACATAACTGTTCCCTTTGTGTTAGGTTTCTTTTCGTATCTTCATCAACTTCCCATATTGTTTTCAGTAAATCTTCTATATCAACTTCTTGTTTCATGACCGTTAAGGATTGCTCATGCTTTCTGACCTTGATGTCAATTCCACCCATAAGGATCCATCCCAGGTATGTATCTTGTGCGCATGGTGTACCTGGTGGACCTTTGATCAACCCCTTCTTCATAATGTTTACATATTCATTGACACCCAACAGCAGGTCGATGTTACAGGAGGCTGAAAATGTCTCGTCTGCCAGTTGAATGCCAGCAAGGTGCGGCCAATCTCCTCTTATTATTGTGCCTGAATGTATGTTAGAGGTCAAGGGCTTCGTCATCACGTAGGCTTTTATAGGTAAAATGAAGTTGTTCCATCGTGATAATACATTTACATTTACTTCATGCCTGACTCTAACCTTCGTGGACTCCAGTCCAGACACGATAAGATCTACTGATGTCTTGTGTAGTTTCAGGATCTGAGTTGCCTTCTCACTTATAAAACATGCTTGAGATCCTGAGTCTATCAGCGCCTTCAATGCAGTAGTGTGTCCACGTTCATTCTTTAAAATTACTATTGCAGTAGCTAATAGTGAAATTGTCTGTTTCCGCCCTGCGTGATAGTGTGACGCAACCATTGCTTGAATTTCCTTTTCTTCTACATTTGCTTGATTGGATGACATCGGTTGATTAGCTACAACATGAGAAGCCGATGCCTCCCCGTAGTTAGGNTCTATCAGCGCCTTCAATGCAGTAGTGTGTCCACGTTCATTCTTTAAAATTACTATTGCAGTAGCTAATAGTGAAATTGTCTGTTTCCGCCCTGCGTGATAGTGTGACGCAACCATTGCTTGAATTTCCTTTTCTTCTACATTTGCTTGATTGGATGACATCGGTTGATTAGCTACAACATGAGAAGCCGATGCCTCCCCGTAGTTAGGCAGGTGTAGAAGAGTGTGGTGACGTCTCTTACATACACGGCATGATGTTGGTAAACGGCACCTAAACACCGAATGTCCAACCCCGAGGCAGTTGAAACAGAGCTTGTTTGTTTTGACGTGTTCTCTCCGTTCGTTTGGTGACATCTTGGTGAATACGTTACAATGGCATAACGTGTGCGCGTCTGTACATAAAGCACAACTTCTTTGCTTTGGTCTTTCCGCTGCTGTAACGTGAAGGACTCGTTCCTTGGCAAGCTTCGTAGTAGTGGGGGGGTTGACTAATTCCAATGTTCTGAATTTTGCCTCCAAAAACTTGCGCAGATCCCTCCAGGTCGACAAGTCCTGGGAATTCTCTGAGTAGGAATTTTGTTCCCACTCCTTCTGGGATTCAGGGTCCAACTTCTGTGCAACCAGAAATATGATTACTGGATCCCAAGAATCCGTCGACACCTCCAGATTTTCTAGACTCTGTAATACTTCGTTGGTGGTGTCGAGTAGATATTTCAATTGGGTTGCGGCTTGGCTGGTACATTTCTTCTGAGCAAAAAGTCGCTTCAACAACGCGTTCACTATTAGACGCTTGTTCCCATATCGATGGTTCAGCGTTCCCCATGCTTGAATGTAGTTAGCGCTTGTCACTGGAATGTGCTTCAATAAAGTCGCTGCTTCACCTGCCACACTGGTTTTTAAGTAATTGAGTTTTTCGACGTCGCTTAGTGTTGTGCAGTTGTGAATGAGTGATGAAAACAAATCTTTAAAACTAGGCCAGAGTTCGTACTCGCCCGAAAACAGAGGTAAATGTATAGCCGGGAGGTTAACTTTCTTATTTTGCAGTTCTTCTGGCGGCGGTTGTTTACCTTTGGCAGACTCGAGTGCCGCCAACATGTCTGTCAAGTCTCCCAACATACACAAGTACATATCTTCTTGTACAAAAAATTCCTCATTCTCGAAATATGGCAGCAATTCACGCTCCTCACGAGTGGTACAGGTCAATAATTTTTTATGAGCTTCTTTGAAGATCATCCAGTATTCTTCAATTGTTTTAATTCTCGTTTGTAAATAGCCCACTTTAGCCAGTCGTTGTTTGGGGCATTTTGATAAATTAATCTGGGTTTTCTTCAATAGTAGGGCTGTATTTTCTAGTATACTGATTGCTTGTTCGGTTTCCGTGGCCATATTTCACACGTAACAGTCGAAATTCTCACACTAAAACTTGTAAATATTGAAGCGTCGGCGCGAATATACCTAATTGTCTTTATAATTGCACTAAACTTCAACCCGGCGCTTGTTTATCGCTCAGAAATGCAGTTCTTTGTTCTCCAGGTAGCCGGTCCTCGATGCAATGTTGAACTTCTGTGCGGCTCGAAGTCGACCATATGGTGAGGTCGTAAGGTTCAGTTTGGCTTGTGCCGGCGGATCAGTTAGAGAAACACGTCTTTCCTTCGTAAATGTATATTGACAACTACCGCTTAATCGTAAAGTTAATTGAGACTACGTTTTTAAGTTCAAAATCGCAAAACAGAATCACCAATTATTGTTATCTATTTACGCAATGAAAAAAGAATGTTTAACGTTAAGAATTTTTACTTATTCTTCTTACTTAGTCTTCTTATTTATCTATCTATCTATCTATATATCTCGTCTCTTATCTATCTATATATCTATATTAATACGTGAAGAAAAAACTTTGTATCCCTTTTTACGAAAATTGCGCGGACGGAGGAGTATGAAAATTTTCACACTTATAGAAAATATAGAGAAGAAGTGCACAAGGCTAATATTTTTTTCAAATAATGCATAAAAGATACATTAAATCAATAAAGAAAACATTACACACACTACATACCATGTATTTGACGCACACATGCATACTATTTATTTATTGTCAAACTTTCGTTCTTGACGTCTGTTGTCAAATTGAGAATAGATTAAATATTGTTTGTCTTTAATCTTTGTTAATATTTTGTTATAGTGTAGTCTTGGCGAAATTTGTATAAACTACAATCATAATAGTGTACAAACTTACAATTCCAATTAATTATAGTCGAATTTCGACTACTGCGGGACCTTTAGTTTATTTAATTAAGAATCGTAAAAACTACAATAAAACCAGCGAATAAACAACTATAAAAAGCGCCGACACATGGTGTTCATTAAAACATCGCGCAGTTATTTACAGTGTTGCGATTCTTTCTCACTTCGAACGGGGCTTCGTGTGAAATCACATCGATAATGTTTCAAGGTACTGGGAGATTCGCTGCATTATGTTTGCAGTCCGTATTGTGCGGTGAGACTTTAATTTCGGTCAATTAAAAGATGACATGTTTATTGTACCTTCCAGTGTTGCTCGATCTTGTGCGTTTTGACATTACATCTTGCACTTGCATGTAAATTACAGGTTTTTTTAAATGATTACCTAGTTCTTTTTAATTTGCTTCAATTGGGTAATTTGTAAGATGAGATTTTTGGGAATTCTTTTTAATGTAAGAGGTTTCTCCACTGATCTGGTTATCCAACAGGGGTTACGGGTACATGATCCCAGCCTTTTTATTTATCATCAGTAGCGGCAACCTTTCCTCGCTTACTTTCCATCTCAAATTTTTCCACTCCCACTTTTAACCTGTACCAAACTTTACTAATTATTAAATACAATCTATTCCAAATTCGCACGTGTAAATTTCCACTGTATCTGAAGCAATTTTTTTTTTGCCCTTGTATGCAGACGAGCATACGGCCCACCTGATAGTGAGTGGTTAGCGTTGCCCATGGACTTCAGAAATGCCAGGGGCAGAGCCAAGCCGCTGCCTACCGCTTAATACTCTCCACAAGCCTCGTTTGAAGAAGGACATGTCATAGCGCTCGGGAAACACCGTGGAGGGGAGCTCATTCCATAGCCGGATGGTACGTGGCAAAAAAGATCTCTGGAAACGCACTGTGGATGACCGCAGTGGCTCCAGGTAGTACGGATGAACTCTANAGGACATGTCATAGCGCTCGGGAAACACCGTGGAGGGGAGCTCATTCCATAGCCGGATGGTACGTGGCAAAAAAGATCTCTGGAAACGCACTGTGGATGACCGCAGTGGCTCCAGGTAGTACGGATGAACTCTACTCCGGTGGCGGGCGGTGCGATGGTAAAAACGAGATGCCGGTATCATCTCGAACAATTCCTCAGAGCACTCCCCGTGGAACATACGGTACAAAATACAGAGGGAACCGAAGTCCCTCTGCAGACCCAGAGGTTCCAAGCGATCCGTGAGAATTCCTACATTCTGTTCTGAAGTACTTAATTGTTGGTAATATCATTTCTACGAGTATAAATTGACATCTACTGTTGTCTATCGACTCCGGCAAGCACTAGTGAGTTCATAGTAGCTTAATAGTGTAAAACGGGATGGGTATTCAATTATTTTGAGTTCACATTCTACGACAGGTGCCAATTTTAATTAGTACATTCATTCCTAAAACGCGTTCTTGAACGACCTCCGATTTAAAAGTAAAATATAGTGTAATGAAAATAAAGCCCCCGAACTGTATAAATTTGCGTAATTGAATATTGTGAATAAGTACAAATAACTACAGCAGTCCTAGCTATAATAAATATAACGTAATTATAATTGCTTGTTAACTGTTTTTCAATGTTAATTGTATTTTGGTGTGCAATAAATTATATTCTCTGCCTCTCTCTCTCTATCTCGCACACACACACTTAGTGAAGTCTATGGGTTCCATTATCTAAATACTAGGTAGACGAGCTAAGTGTATGCGGAGTATTAAAAAGTGACATATCATAATGATCATGGTCCATCAATCAGAAAGATAGGGCTGAGAGCGAGTTAAAATGTATTATTTATTATTATGTTATATTTGTTTTTTTTTACAAACTTTTATGTAGATTATATTGCGTATTATTATGCAAAGGATTCATTTTAACTTTACAAAGTAAGATGCAAAGCAATATTGTGTGATAGCATTCCACAGCGGGGTATCTGCTCAATAAGTAAGTAAATTTAGTAATTCGTTCCAAAATCTGAAGCGATACTAAAATCTCAAAGGTTCGACAATTTGAAATCGGCTTCATAACTAATGCTCGTTGTCTTCATTTAAGATTTATCTTTAAGCAAACAGTAGAAAGAAGTTGCAAAATACTTAAGACAAGTTACGCGCGCCATTTATCTTTCGAACAGCTAATTATGAATTCTGAGCACTCAAAGTCAGTGACTAGTGCGTAATAGTCACGTTATAGGCTTCGGCAGTCGTTTGAGCTAGGCGTGGCCGCCGGAGACCTTAGTGAACGGATGTAGCAGCCTCATTTGCTCCAACAGCTTCGATCCAGTTCGTGATAAACCAGAAATAAAAAAATCTTTTGAGTGAAAAGGTCAAGCGGCCGCTACACCGAAATTAAAGTCCGAAATAATAATCATTACGGTCACAATGAGCGCAACAGGTTTCGTATTTTGACAGCGTAAAAGTTGCGCGGCGAAATGCGATTCTTTGAGTCCCTTTTCGACGGGTTTTCTTTATGATAATTTATGTGGAGACTCTCCTTTCTGATGCTATCGTTTAATTTTATAGCTTAATTTTATTCGGCGAAACAGTACTCCCGGCAGTGAATTTATAAAATGTATTTTATGCTAAAGTGTTTATTTAGCGCTGAAGATGAAAACGATCCCACTCTTTTTGTTTGCCTTGAGCGAATATGGGTCTCGAGCCTTATACGCGTCGAGATATGAACTAATTACGATCGTTGTTTTACTGAAATAGTACGAGTGATCAACAGTTAATGTTATCGTCGTCGGTTGAAGTGACTGGGTTTTTGCGCTTCAGTGTATAATTTAGCTTTGCGAATGAGCACCGCAAATGTTTGTTGCGCGTAGTTTCCTTTCACGTAAGGGTTTTTTTTCTCTGAGGAATAGGGTATTTTGCGTACGAAGGTCCCTTCCGTGTGTGAGTCAGACAACACGTTTTATTAATTTAAGCTTTCGTCACCGACTACACATAAATAGCGACAGCCCTATTAAATTATAACGCTTATTATTGTTCGTTTAAATTTAATAAAATTTAGTAATGGCGCTTTTTTTTAATAATCATTTAAGATGACGTACTCTTTAAAAATGTTTCATTCCATATTCGATTTTTTTTATCGCAAAGCAAAATAAAACATTAACAAATAAAATGGTCTGGTATCAAAGGGTTTGCTTTTTTTTTACTGTTGGTAAGACCTCTTGTGGGTCCGCGCGGGTAGGTACCACCGCCCTGCCTATTTCTGCCGTGAAGCAGTAATGCGTTTCGGCATGAAGGGTGGGGCAGTCGTTGTAACTATACTTGAGACCTTAGAACTTATATCTCAAGGTGGGTGGCGCATTTACGTCGTAGATGTCTATGGGCTCCAGTAACCACTTAACATTAGGTGGGCTATAAGCTCTTCCACCCATCTAAGCAATAAAAAAAAAAATTGTTACTACGCATTGGTAGCCCCTAAGCACTCATTTATTTTTCAAAGCGACTGTGTTATGCCGCTATAAAATACGGCATCAGTCTCTTCCCATGTGTGTTGTGGAAGGTGAATAAAGCATTGCACCAAAAATCAGACAGTAGTGTTCTTTGACGATCAAGCATTGCGATCGTCTACTGATCGAGGGGAGTATTACGAACTCTTTTGTTATTATATTACCATCCTACCTGTATCTACCGCAAAGAAGTCATGCGCTCCATTTTAATGGGTAGAACCACCAGTATATAACTGAAAAACAAACTTACAATTATTTTTGGCCTTCATACGAGCGAATATAACCCATTTGCTTACCGCGAAACCATCGACATCAGGATGAGAATTCTGTCAGCTACCTTCAGAAACAAGGTGAAAGACTCAATTGTATTGTTCAATAATTGTTCCAGTGTTGCAATCGGAATACATGATTGCCTCGCTACAGCGAAACAAGCAAGATGGTTGTATCTTTGAATAATATATGGAAGTCGTCTTTATTTTATTACACGGTATTATTTCTCATATGTAAAACTATTTGAGAGCCCGACATAACAGTGTATATCAATACCAACTCATGGGGTTTCGTACATTAAGCAATTTACAGTAGGTTGTGGCTTGGCTCTGCCCCTGACATTGCTGGGGTCTATGGGCGACGGTAACCACTCACCATCAGATGAACCGTATACTC